TATAAAATAGCAGCGTTTAGAACGTTAATCTCAAGAGCTTATTCGCACTGTAACAATACAAAAGATAGAAACGAGGAACTGAATTATATATATAACTTAGCCAGAAAGCACGGGGTTAATCTTAAAGCTATTATCAACAAGAGTAATAGGAGCATTAAGAGGAGAAATTTACCTCATAATGAAGGAGTTTTAACGATGGAATATAATGCTTCGTTGAATAATATTTTCCGACGCATAGGAAAGGCCCAGAACAAAAGAATCGTATATAAAAGAACCCCCACCACGTACCAACTATTACGATCTGATAAGGATTTAGTGGATAGAAGAACACTCCCCGGGGTATATAAAATTCCAGTCACAGACTCAAGGCGACGAAGTAAATTAATGTATGTAGGGGCAACAGGAAGATGTATCAAAGACAGGTTAGCAGAACACCAAGCAAATATAAGAAAAAAACAACCATGCACTGCGCTAGCCACCTACGTTCTAGCGGACCAGCAAGACGTCCAAGTTGAATGGGACCAAGCAAGACTAATGCAGATAGTCCGAGACAGGAAACACCGACATTACGCGGAAGCCTGGCAGATTTGTAAGGCAAAGCATAAAGGCCTCGCAATCAACTTCCGGGAAGCGACTAAAATATCAGCAGCATGGTCCTCTAGCTTATTATAATATTAATAATTGAAGGAAGTAGTCACTATGTATCTCAGATTACGTACTTTTGAATAATGTAGAGAGATGGCAACTATACGTATTTAGATGTAAATATTTATGTAATATTTTTATATTTCCGTTGCTAAGTTTACACTGACGTCATTCGCAACGGATTATAAGCCAGTTCGAAAGATTCAAAAAAGAGTTATTTGTATTAAGTGTTCGATTTACAGTGTTTGTTCTTTATTTAATCGTATTTTCTTGAGAAAGGTCTTTTAATAAGACCGAAAACGTTTGAAGTTTTCTAATAAACGTCGACTGCAAGAAAAGGTGTTGTAGTAAGTGTTTTTTGACAGTTAATGGCTGATTAAAGCAGTGGCCAATTGTTTCAAGGCTGGTTAAGAGGCACTCACTATAGTATTCTTTTACAACTAGATTTATATTTCATAATTTTATATTCATGCTCTTTTTACTTTTCTGGCTCTGTTATATATGACAGAGGAAAAGTATGTTGATTAGTCAAAAAATGACCCTCCTCAAGGTTTTTACATTTTTGGACTCAGCGTCTTGAAACTTCAAGAAATGCAAAAAATTCAGGATGTTTTTGTGTGTGTGTGTGTGTGTGTGGGACAATTTTGTTCACCCTGTTTGATGTTCGAAGTTTAATAACTCCTGTGCTTTTTGTTGAAAATTTCTGAAATTTTGTAAGTAGGTTTGTGTATTAGAGGGATTGATGCTATTAAATTTTGATGGTTTAAGGTTGATGGGTTGGGAAGATGAGGTTGTATGTCATATCTCCAGTAGAGTTGAACTTAATGACAATTTTTACTTGCTATTAGCATTTACAATTATTTACAAAACCCATTCCTATCTTCAAAATTAAGCTTTTGCCATTTTATAATAGTTAGAAATGTAAAATGTTTTTAAAGTAAAAGTATCATAACATCATACACACACAAAGTTCAGTAACTCTGTTGGATTTTTTCATATTAGAACATATATGAATAGGGTGAGCCAAAAGTTTCTTGCACTCTTTTTACTCTGAAAGTACTGAAGATGTATTGATTTTATTAATATCATGCATGGAGAATTCGATGGGAACATTTTGCTGGTCTTTTCAAATCATTTATGTTCTAACATTTTAATGAGCAGAGATAATGTAAAAGTTCTAATGACAAAGTTAGAGTGTACTATTTAATTGGTCCAAAACCATTTTTTGGATTCAAATAAATGCTTTTAGGACTGAAAAATGTGCAATTTTAAATTTATGAGGAAGGAGTAAAGTATTTTTAACATGAGTATCAAGAAAAAGAAAATTGTCATTGAGTACCTTGTACATCTGATTTAGACCTTGAAAATGATTTTCAAGTTTTAAGTCAGATGTACTCAATAATGATTTTTTTTTTCTTGATCCATTTGTGCTAAAAATTCTTGATATATGAAATCCTTTGATATATCCATTGAATTGGAAATATCTGTGTTAAAGAAATTCAAGATGGAACTTTGTTTGCTTTGTCATAGTTTATGTTCATACATCATCATTTTACTTTTTTCTTCCTGCCCATCATTAGCCAAGTTTGGATAAAACTTTTTCACACAGCGTAAAAAAAAAAAGAAACTCTTTACACTCTCGTATACTTACTCCAGCACATAAAATTTAATGGATGCACAAATGTTTGCAAGCCAGTTTATGGGGTCTTCATTGGGTGAGAGAGCCATTTTGTACATGAAACAAGATACAACATATTTAAAAATGGAACATTCCATATGTGCAATGACATCTTACAAATTATTCAATATGTTATCAGATATCTGTTTCCAAAATAGTAAATATTAACTGACTCAAACATAAAAATAGATATAAAGAACAAAGTACTCATATTATAAAATAAAATATATAATAAAATGATCAATTATTTATTGTGACGATGTCACAATACCAGATTGTAATTTTTAATTTATTTCATTTAAAATATATGTTCTCCACCTCAAATTACTAGTGGCTTACCCATGTACAGTACATAATATTTTTTCCTTTAACAATAGACATGCCAGTAATCTATCTAACACTTTTCAGGGGAAAATTTCTCAATTTTCAATAACATGACTTCCGGTTTGCATTGGAAGCTTGTGTAAAGTTAATCGTGGCCTCCTGCCCCTAAGATTTCCATATCTGGTCTCATCTTTCATCTAACTTCGTTCTCAAGATTAAGGAAATACAAATGGGCAGACAGCAGTGGGAATTTATAGGTCTACAATTTTTTCAAATTACAGCCCAGTTAGTGAACAGTATTTCTGTATTACATTATCAGCAGTACCAGAAAAGGTTCAATACTATGTGAAAAAATCTTTCTGGAATAAGCCATATTATATAATTAAAGTATTGTTGAATAAAATCCAAAGAAATAAACACTATTTTCTCTAGTTAATATCAAGTGTAGGAATAAATTTTAAAATGGAAATATTTTACATGACTAAAAAATATCAAACTTTTGTGTGTAAATAAATTATATTGTGAAATTTATTACTTGGAATTAATAATTGTTAACTTTCAAGTTTTACAATTTTTCAGTTTTTATGTAATATAAGTTTTAATGCTTAATAGATAAGAAACTATTCATTTATATTAATTAACAACAATTTTTCCATTAAATTTTATTGTTTTATTTGTCTATAAATAAACAGATGATAGCTAAGTTTACATAAAAATATTTTTATTAGTTGTGAATTAAAGTTATATTTTATTTTTTCAGATTATAATTTGTTTCCTGTGCATTTTGTGTTTAGGAGATCTTGCGTATAGTAGCATACAAACATTACATTACTTGAAAAATGTGCCTTCTGCTGATTATTATGTTTCATTCATAAGATTAGTTTCTTTTGTGAGTATATAAATATTTACTAATTTTGTTATGTTGTGTGTGAATTTTTTTTATTTATCATTTGTTAAAATGTATGTATAATAGTTAATTCTTTTTATTCCATAATATAATAATAATTTTAATCATCATCATCATAATTATAATATATATACCCTGTATTAAGTGCAAAACTTTTATGAAAATATTCCAAAATGCTTGAATTTAATTTATTCATAAACTTAAATTTGGTCATTACCATATTAACATTATAATTGAGGTGTTCTGTGGAATAATGTACCTAAGTGCGCTTAGATACCTTTTTCAGTTAAGTGTTTTATTATGCACATCAAAATGTTTTATGGATATGGATATTCTCCTTCCTTCCTTCACTCAAGCATATTTAACATTTAAACTTTACTTACTTCACAACAAACTTCATGAAAAAAGAAAAAAACTTTTTTGGGAATTCCCAAAACATTGAAATTTAACTTAGATATCTTATTCCATAGAACTCTACAATTAGAAAAAAAATTTTACTTTAAATTATTACTCTATATAAACATTTTTGTGATTTAATATGTAAATTAATTTTTAAAATTTTATCTTCAATATTACAAATAGAGTTGATATGATATTAAATTTTGTTGATAAAATCTGATACTGGTAATTTTCTAAGTAATCTAGTCAGATACTTGCTTCTATCCATACTCTACAGCAGTGGCACACTCAAGATTTAATTGTAGGGAGAGCAGAGTCGAATAGATAAAAAAGTTTTTAATATGAACTCAATAAAATTCTCACCTTATGGCTGCTAATTCATAAATAATGTAGAAATAGAACACATGATACAATATAAATAAAAATAATGAATTTTAATTAGGAAAATATTTTTGGAAAATTTACTAGTGTTTCTCTTCCTATATAAATATCAACAACTCATAGCCCGAGTAGTAAATATATCACCAAACGATCGCCTAAATATCGGGCTATAATATGGCTAATTAAATTAATTAGCCATATTGCTAAATATCGGGCTATAATATGGCTAATTAAATTAATTAGCCATATTATAGCCCGATATTTAGGCAATCGTTTGGTGATATGTTTCTCTTCCTTTTACTTTGTGGAGTGTCAGGGTCCCTTGGTCTACATCCTGAGTGTGTCACTGCTATATAAGGTGTGTAATGAAAGTCCAAATGTTCATTAGTTAAAAGAATATTTACTAACTATTTAAAATCAAATATAAAGAAATAAAAGTTTACAAATCAATTTACTGCTACTTTCAGACCCATAAACAATTGTAATTGTCTAGTTTGCCTAGGCTTGATTTGAGCCCTGATTTTAGGAAAAAATATGTACGAGTCATAAATGAACTTATAATATTGTAGAAAAATTGCCAGATTGAAAAACTCATTACCAAATTGCCAATTGGCTTGAAATATCATAAATCTGGCAATAAATTGCATATTGTTCATCCATCAGTATACAGATCCTATATAATCAGAGATGCAACAATGTAAATACTTTGTGTATTTGGCTTTTGCCAATTACAACTGTGCCATGTAGATTGCAATATAGCATTACAGTAGTCTGTTCTTTACTCATTGTCTCCCCACTGCATAGTCTGTAAAGATGTGTGTCTTTTTTGGTAGCATTTGAAAAAAAAATTATCATTGTAAGCTTCCATTTGTAAATACAGCTCTGTCTTGATAGTCAGACGTTTTTTAATCCAACGTGCTCAGTAGTCTGACGCACCTCCCGTCAAGGTACCCGTCCCCGTTACGTGTCTTCTTGCACAGAAGCATGTTGCGACGTGAATCTTCCCATCCAATTCTTACACGATGACACACATTTCGTGTGTTTTCTGTGAGCAGTTCTGTTTGAACAGTTGGAGTAGGGAATATTGTAAGCTACTGCTAGCAAAACACTGCAAAACATGTAATTATTTTTGGTAATCCGGACACTTTTGATAATCCAACACCTCTTTGGTCCCATACCTGTCGGACTATTAAGGGAGAGCTGTAGCAGCTTCCCTTAATGCGACGCATAGAGCACATAGCTAAACAACATGGCTATCACAACGTCTTATGCAAGATAAACAACAAGGTACTACAACAACAATCCAACAACACCTCTCATTCCAATGATTCCCTGGTTAAGTACATACCAATCACGTACAACCCGGCACTTAAGGCCATATACAACCAGATAGCCAAAAAAAAGAATGTCCGCCTGGCATTTAGGCGGTGCGCCACAATATTCGATTGGCTTAGGAATGGAAAAGACGCTCCAGACAGCAACAGACTTCTGGGAGTATACTCTGTGCCCATCATCGATCATAGAGACAACAGCGAAGTATTCTACATCAGGTCCACTAAACGCAACTTAGTAACTAGAATCAAAGAACACAAAGCAGACACCCTACATCATAGAAACAACACCGCCTTAGCAGTATACTCCTCCGACCCAGAAATAGAGCCGCTATTCCCTCTAGCCAGAATTATTCGCACCATGGTCCGCACAGAACACGTCAGATGGCTAGAGGCCATATACATTTGCCTTAACACCCTCAGGAATAAGCACTGCATTAACTTCAAACAAGAAATGAAGATATCAACAGCATGGGAAGCCTTCCTCAATAAAACTCTAAAGTAACAACATATGGATAATGCGCAAGTCTACAATGACGCCATCGGTCACATGTCACAACATTTCAAAAAAATGTTCCAAAACAACGGTTAATTCTGGAAATTCGAATTCATATAGGAAATTCCATAGCGCCTGAAGAAGAACCACATCAGGTTCGAAAACGTTTGCAAAGTCCTCTGTATTGGAAAAGAAGAATGCCGGTTACAGGCAGTGAAGTTGGGTAATTTGTAGCTTCCAGATTTGCATTGAAAGCATTTTCCTCACAATGTACTGGGTTAGTGCAAATCAGTTGCATTTAGGATCTTTGCAATTTCTGATGCCTTTTCTAATATTAAAGACTTGGAGATTGAGATTGGTTTAAAGCCTGTATTTAAAAAACTAATGGTTTATTGTTTACTGTTCCATGCTTTGAAAGCAGCACAGAAATTGAGAACTGATGAATTTGGAATTTTAGACATAATTTGAAAAACTTTTTAAGCAAAACTGGCTGATTTCTTCTGTGTAAAGAATTAACTTAGTTTTGTGTTTTGAATTTTATGTTAATGTAAGAGTTGGATAAGAGTGTGACCCAGTTGGTCACACTTTTCTAATTTACATTATTTAAAATTACAGTAGAGCATCATTTATCTGAATCAATTGGGGACTGAGGCTGTTTGGATAACTGATTATGTACGAAAAATTATATTAACCTATCCCATGTTGAAATTTTTATCCGTTGCATGTCGTTTTGCATTGTATTTTTGTCGATGTTAAGCCTAACATAAACTTTTTAAAATAATAATCATGGCTATTGTATTGTTAAAAATTATTTCTTTATTTTTTACAAACAAAATAAATATATTGAAAAATATAAAAACAAAAAAAATTATACTTTAGAAATTGATCTAGTATCAAAAACGTTNAAAATGTTTTCTAAATGATAGTTTATTCATGTGACTATTAAGTAGACTTAATTAAATTGTCATTGGATTAATACCAATAAAAAAAGTCCATGTGGAAAATGCCATAAACTCTGCTCCCAATTAAGTCAGTGATGTACTTTTTGCAATACCCTTTTTCTTAAACTTGCATGTAGTTAATGGATAGCTCTTATGTAATAAAAATTAACACAATCACAAAACTATTTTTATAACATAATCACTACATAATTTAATTTTTAACGTATATTTATAATTTATAATTAAATATGTCATGATTTTGTCACAAATTTTATTCTCTCTCATCCTGTAAATGCTGAAAATTCTTTATTCATCACAAATTTGGCTGTACCAGGTTGCCAAAAGATAAGGATGATATCTGATGTCTAGGCCAGATTAATCACAAAAACTGAGGATATAATTCAGAATTAGGTTGTTCAAAGCAGCAAATTTATATCTTGTCTACTTGGACATCTGGCTATGAACTTATCATATATTTGTACTTTTTCAAATAAAATAAATTTTTTATTACTATAAATATTATAGATATTATAAGTAAAAACAACAAAATATTAGCAAACTAGTTTGTATAAGAATTTTTCTATTTTAAATTAAATTTTAATTATTCAAATATAATAAAAACTTTTTGTTGTATTTGTTATATACATGATGTGTTGTTGATAATTTTTTTTTAATATAGAAAGAATGTCCAGAGAAGCATTCATCTTTTCCATCAAAACTGCTGTATTGGTGGTTCAATCGGTCAGTATTATATTTTTTATTTGTACAGTATTACGTTAAAACATTGTTTTAATTAAAAATGCTTTAACAAATATTTCTATGTAGTTTTTATGTTTTATTTAAAAAGTTTGACCATATAAAATCACATTCTGTGTAATTTTTACATATAGTAAATGACAACAGTTATGATTAGATAAATATTTATTCATACAATCTTACATTATTCATAGAATAGGGATTATAGTGAATAATAATGATTACATCTAAACAATATTTATTTGAATATTTTTTCTCATATTACAAGAAATCCTCATTAATTTGAACTTGGATAGTTTGAAATCCTGTGAGTTTGTAACACTACTTTTGTCCTAGCTGGGGATATAGAGATTTACATATTAAGGAATTTGGTTAGTTTGAAATATGGCTACTTCAAAATTCAAAGCAAAAATTCTGTCTGAACTGTGAGTGATATGCATATGTTAATTCATTCATTTAGATTGTAGTGCATCCATGCTGTAAGAGAACAATAGATTAAGAACAACTTTAATCTGGTCAATATGGCTTTGCTTTTACAGTAATACATTTTCAGGTGTTACCTTACTCATGGACTACCTCCTTTTTTTCCTCTTATCTCATAAAATATGGCTGGTTTTCAGGATTGCAAGATTGGCCTGCAAGTAGCAGATTGAGATATTTGTAGGCTTAGGCTACTCCATTTGGGTGACTTTCCACTTTTTGGACCACTTTAAAAATAATTTGGCTAAATTTTGAAGAAATTGTGCTTTACTTTTTACAAAATCTATCTGGCAACCTGTGAGGTTCTCACAGGACATATGATGTTTACCTGCAATTTTTTTGTATTATTATTATTATTAATGAATGGATATCACATTCTGTATATATAGCTGTATTCTGTTTCTTTAATAAATTACATTTGTTACATGGCATTTGGCATATTGTACAGAAATATATAAATTTTGGATAATTTGAATTTATGATTATTTGTCCCTTGAATTTTGAACTAATGAGGATCATCTGTACAATCATTTTTTTTATGGACAAAAGTGTGTGTTTGTGTACATATACGTATTATGTATACTATAGATATAAATGAATAAAGACGGATTGTAAATATTGTTTGACTTAATTGAAATTGCTTATGATAATTATGGCAGTTTAAAAAAACAATAGTTCCACGTTCACAAATGATTAAAATTTATTTTTCACTTAATTATTTATCTAATTTATTATCATCTATCTATTATCTAAATAGACAGATGATAATAAATTAGATAAATAATTTTTATTATTTTTATTTTATCAATACACACAAAACCTTAAATTAAGAAACCACTTAGTTTTAACTTCATAACATTTTTAAGAAGATTTAACTATCATAAGTGATCAAAAATATTCTGTTTGAAACAACCTATTTTCAGATATCTTTAAATCCTTAAAAACTTGTTCTTTCTCATTTTTCTTTTTTCTCTTCATTTCTTAAAAAAACTATAGGAATTACTCTTGATATTACTCTCTTGTGGTTACTTTTTTTAGTGCAAAACAACTTTTAAATCCTAAATCTCTCCTGTGACTTACAGGTTAAATTTTCTGCCCAATTCATGTCTATGAAGTCTAAAAATACATTATAATGTATAATTTATGAAGATATCCATTAATTATGTATACAGTTTTTGATCCACATTTGACTTCCTCCCTTTAATCACCTATACAGTACAATAATTCATGATCTTTTGTGAAATTGAAGAAACATCTTTAATAAAGTTCTAAAAATGTTTTCTAAATGATAGTTTATTCATGTGACTATTAAGTAGACTTAATTAAATTGTCATTGGATTAATACCAATAAAAAAAGTCCATGTGGAAAATGCCATAAACTCTGCTCCCAATTAAGTCAGTGATGTACTTTTTGCAATACCCTTTTTCTTAAACTTGCATGTAGTTAATGGATAGCTCTTATGTAATAAAAATTAACACAATCACAAAACTATTTTTATAACATAATCACTACATAATTTAATTTTTAACGTGTATTTATAATTTATAATTAAATATGTCATGATTTTGTCACAAATTTTATTCTCTCTCATCCTGTAAATGCTGAAAATTCTTTATTCATCACAAATTTGGCTGTACCAGGTTGCCAAAAGATAAGGATGATATCTGATGTCTAGGCCAGATTAATCACAAAAACTGAGGATATAATTCAGAATTAGGTTGTTCAAAGCAGCAAATTTATATCTTGTCTACTTGGACATCTGGCTATGAACTTATCATATATTTGTACTTTTTCAAATAAAATAAATTTTTTATTACTATAAATATTATAGATATTATAAGTAAAAACAACAAAATATTAGCAAACTAGTTTGTATAAGAATTTTTCTATTTTAAATTAATATAATAAAAACTTTTTGTTGTATTTGTTATATACATGATGTGTTGTTGATAATTTTTTTTTAATATAGAAAGAATGTCCAGAGAAGCATTCATCTTTTCCATCAAAACTGCTGTATTGGTGGTTCAATCGGTCAGTATTATATTTTTTATTTGTACTGTATTACGTTAAAACATTGTTTTAATTAAAAATGCTTTAACAAATATTTCTATGTAGTTTTTATGTTTTATTTAAAAAGTTTGACCATATAAAATCACATTCTGTGTAATTTTTACATATAGTAAATGACAACAGTTATGATTAGATAAATATTTATTCATACAATCTTACATTATTCATAGAATAGGGATTATAGTGAATAATAATGATTACATCTAAACAATATTTATTTGAATATTTTTTCTCACTTATATGAGAAAGAATGTGAAAGTAATATATATACAGTGGAACCTTGGTATACAACCTTAATCTGTTCCTGATGTTTGGACTTATACCGAATTGGACGTATACCAAACCAATCTTTTCCATAAGAAGTAATGTAAAAATGATTAATCCATTCTCATGTGAAAAAAAATGGCTGGCTTTAACACCTCGTTTTCCTGGCTAGTTCCTGCTTGATTTTTCATGAGATCAGCATGTATCTTTTTAGCTTTCTCGCAAATAATTGGTTCTGATAGGATGTCGCCAGCGCACTGTTTTTCAGTTATCCAAGCAAAAGCAATTTCTCAACATGATCTAATGTCTTCAATCTCTGTTTAGAACTTGATTTAACCACTTTCACAACGTTAGCAGATTTAATAATGTCTTTATTTTTCGCGATTGTCGATATCGTTGTTCTCGGAATACAGCATGCAACAGTTAAAATCTTGAACACGCATGCCACCTTCATATTTCTCAACAATCTCTTTTTTCAGTTCCATTGTGATTCTAGTCATTTTTTAGTTTTCTGTTGCTTTTCATTTGCCTTTTTGCAATTCATGATTAATAAAAATAATAAAATTTTACTTACAAATTAAAATCAGAAGAAATTTAACAAAGTTATAAACCGTGGCAGCGCCAACGTTTAGTCTGGTCTAGTACACCGATAATACTACTTGTTCATAGATGGCACGTATAATTGAATTTAAGTCGTATACCGAACAAAAGTCGTATACCGAGCAAAATTTGTTTCGTCCAAACAGGATGTATTTCGAATTTGACGTATTCTAAAGCAGACGTATACCGAGGTATCACTGTATATATTAAACAAACTTCATCACTAAAACATGATACATTATAAAACTACAAGCCAACCAATGCTGTATGTCATTGGGCTAGATATTGGCTATAATACTAATAAATTATGAAACAATTTGGTACTAGAGGGAGGAAAGCCAACTGATGTTATATATATATATATACCTTGCTGGGGTTTGCGATGGCTGGTTGAGTGTCTTAGGAGGTGTTTACAGGATGCTGGATGCATCCTCAGCTGGCACCGTAATAACCATCGGTGGTTATAACATAATGTTATATATACTGAAAGATGAGATTGGACTGGAGGTCCAGGTAGCGTAATTGGCAACACATCTGCACAGTAAGCAGGAGTTGCAGGTTCGAGTTTCACTCCAGGCCAATTCTTTTCTTTCAGTAGTTCTAAATTATTTAATTAAAAATTATAATTATTAAATTTATTAAGAGATGGCACCTAACATCTCCCTCTAGTACCAAATTTTTCCATAATTTATTAGTATTATAGCTGTTATCTAGCCCCTCTTACATATGGCATTGGTTGGCTTGTTGTNAGAATATTTAATTAAATGTGTTGTTTTTAAAGTATAATAATTTATATTATACTTTATATGAATATATTATTTGTTATGTTTTATATGATTTGATATTAACTGATAAGATTATTATTTTGATTAAATATCTTAACAAGTAATACATAGCATTTCTTGTTGTAGTTTTTACATTTTATTTATCCAACATAGTTTAGTGCTTATTGGATGGAAGAGAAATTTAACAGAGGCAGATTTATGGTCTCTGAATGAAGAAGACTTAACAGAGAATGTTGCACCAGTTTTTGACAAGTATTGGCATGAGGAACTTCTTAAACATGAAATGTAAGCATTTATTAAACTAACTGATAAATATAATTAATCAATTTAATAGTTTCTATTGGTGTTGTGTACATTCTAATACAATATAATTGCTATCAGGTGGTGGTGTGTATAACTGTTATATTTGTAAGGTTTGAATGAAAATGTGCTTTACTTTAGCAAAACTAACTGTTTTGATTGCAGTTTTTATCTTTTTTCCAATTCTTATTTAATGCACCTTTTGATTTTTTTATGATACATTTTAAAACCAAATATGACAATCCTGTTGAAAATAAGTACAGTAGAGCATCAATTATCTGAATATTGATCAACTGAAACATCAATTAACTGAAAACTTTCCAGTTGGCAAATTTAAATTTCTGCTAGTGCTGTGGCACTGCAACCTTTGGCTATGTCTTGGGCTACTCCAATAGTATTTTTGTTAATGTGCGTGTTTTAGCTGGCAGCACTGGTGCGACCATGAGAGGGTACTTAAGGACGTGCTAGGATTTGAACGAATTTCAACATGGGATAGGTTAATATATTTTTTCGTACATAATTGGTTATCTGAAAAATCGATTTTTCGAATAACCCCAATCTCCAATTAATTCGGATAATCAATGCTCTACTATAGTAATAGTTGTATTCATTATCTCGTAGTTAAATATAAACCAATCAAAACTTTGGCCATTATCTATCTTTAGATCATTTTTAAATAATGATTTACAATCTAGGACAAATTTTATGTAATTTTACTTTGTAAAATATAATACTGAATTTTCAGTATTATTTTTTATAAAGTAAAATTGTATTGTAAAGTATTGTAGTAAGAAAAATTTAAGTCACAAATAAAATTAAAGTTTTTTCAATTCTAATTATCTCAAGTAAATAAGAAGTCAAATATATTTAGTATCAAACACATAATAAAATCTAGCTTTGATGATAACTTTATTGAACTGGAGATAGTATTTATATGCAGATTTATTTCTTATTTTTTCTTCTAATAAAATTTTAAATATTCTTAAAAAATTAAATTCATTTAAATTAATGTGTAAAAAATAATGTTAAAGAATATTTAATTCAAAATTTGTACTTTATATATGTTAGTTTTCATTAATTTCATATGCCAGTAAGTTTAGTAACATAATAGTATAATTAATAAATACTCTAAGAATTAAATAATATATTTTAAATTATAAAAGTGAATATTTTCAGTTATATCAGATCAGCATCTTACAGTCCAAAAAGATCAAATGAAGAGGTACAAATTAGGAGTGAGAGAAAAGGCAAACCATCAATAGTTAAGGCTTTGATTAAAACATTTGGTCCATATTTTCTTTCTGGTGCTATTTTCAAGTTATTCCATGATCTTCTGCAATTTGCAAGTCCATTGTTGTTGCGGTAATTTTTCTCTGTTTTTATAAACATTAAAAATTTACTAAAATATGTTGAAGTATTTATTATATTGCTTATTCAAAATTTAATATTTTGTTTTCAGAGGAAGTCTCTTTGTTCAATTTTATTTAAAATTTTTTAAAATTAAGTTTATAACGAATATTTTATTTTGTGTTTAAGTTTGATGTCAAATATTAAAATTTTATTATAATTGTTGTTATTAAAAATAAGTAAAAATAGTGATGGTAATATGTATTCATTATGTGTTCAAAGATTCTTGTCCTATTTTATTGTTGTTCTTCTTAAGTCTTAAACTTGACAAATGTAGGACTTATCATATAGGATATGAGTTTAAAAGAATGTGGCAAAATTAATTATTTTAAATTGTCATTTTTGAATGCATTTCAAGTCTAAATCTTTTAGTTGTTGACAGTTCTTTAAAAAATTTATCCTGAGTAAAGCCACAAGGAAAAACATATTTTTAAAATTTAATATCAACTAATAAAGGGAATATATAATATCCTTTGCCAAGTACTAAATATGTGATTATTAATTTAAAAAAATACTAAAAAATAAAACCAAAAGGAATTTACCTGGGAGGGAGCCACACTTACAGATTTTATATATAGAAATGTGATCTAAAAACTAAAAGTATTAAAACAGTAAAAAGAAGGGGTTTAAAGTTTTTTTTTTTTTTTATTCTTTTGGATTTAGGAAGTCGTAAAATGTGGAGATTTGCATAAAACTCAGAGGGTCAAATTTCACGTGATTGCAATACTTTTCTTTGTTATGTATACACTATATAGCCAAAAGTCATAGGACACCCCTTTGATTAGAAAGGACTTGCCTGAAACAATGTGACAGTATGAAAATTAGGGCATGTTGATTAAGGGCTAGTACATATTAGGCATTGGGCGTTGTGTTAAATGCGCATTAGCAGTGTACACATGCGCATTTAGCTTGGTGTTTGACAAGCGTTAGTGGGGCGTGCGCACTGGCTGTTTGGAAATAGACGTGGAAGTGATTGCTTGTGTGTGGCTCCTCTATCGTCACTATAAAAGATGACGGCAGAGGCAAAGAGAATTTTGGGTGCACCCAGTATTATGAGATAGACTGACGAATGGAATGTTTGCGATGTTGTATCCAAAACTAAGACAATATGAATGCAATTTTTAAAATTATTTTAGAATGTCTATAAAATTATTTGACGATGGCTAGTCTCTTTTGGATTTTATCAATAAATAGATCAGTATCGAAATGATCATTCTCCATTTTGGCCAACATACATCCACTCTACCCAAAAGCATGCAATCGAATATACAACAAAATGGCGGTGCATGTGTCTGATAGCATGCAGCTGATGCCCCCACAACGTGCATTTGTGTATGTATACCTATGTGGACCTCTTGGTTCTTTAAAACGTGCATTACCAAAGCACATGCTTCAAAACACCTAATGTGTACTATCTCTAAAACACACATGGTTGCATCATATGCATATTTCCTCCAACATGAAGAAGAGAGTTGGATGCATTCACAAGAGGAATGATTATAGGAGCCCTGAAATTTGAACATTCTGTAAGGAAGATTTTACAGCAGTTAGAAATTTCAAAGTCCACTGTCAGCAATGTGATAGTGAAATGGAAACAAAAGGAAATCACTGACCCTGATCCTCACTCTGGTAGACCCAAAATATTGTTCAAACAGAATTGCCAAACATTGAGACATGTTGTGCACACTAATCACCAATCAGCCTTGACCACAATCACTGATGATTTCTGGAACAGGTCAAGTGCACAGGCCAGCAACAGGACTATCCGCCAGAAAACGATAAGACTTCGATTTCATAGTCATGCTGCTGCCCTTAATCACACACCCCAATGCAAGACGTCACTTGGAGTTATGCAAGCAACACTGTGATCGGACTATGGAGCAATGGAAACAGGTCCTGTGGAGTTATGAATCATGCTACATGATCTGGCACTTGGGTGAACGGCATTTACTGGAGTGTGTTGTGCAAACTGTAAAAATTTGGTGGTGTTGGCATCATGGTCTGGAGCTGTTTTTCCTGGTGTGGATGTGAGCCACTGGTTTTGATCAAGGGTGCAGTGAATGCCAGTGTTTACCAAGACATTCTTGATAACAACATGCTTCCAACATTGTGGCAACAGTTTTGAACTGGTTCCTTTATGTTTCAGCACAATAATGTTCCAGTCCATAAAGCAAGGTCTACAACAGTATTTCTCAACCTTTTTTGGCCATGCTCCACCAAAGCGTCTTTAAAATCCTAATATCCCCCTGAGAAAAAACACGGCATCTTTGAATAAGAAAAATGAAAGAAAAGTTTAAGTACTGAGTAGAAAATCCTCAAGAAATTGTTAAATAATAATAATAATATGAAGCAATCTGAAAAAAACAGCAAATATAAAGTTTTAGAATATATATAGGCATATATATATAGAACTGAAGTGAAAATATAACAAATATTAATTATTTGCACATTGCCCCCAAAACATTCAAATTGCCCCCTGGTGGGGCGTGCGCCCCATGTTGAAAACACTGGCCTACAATGACATGGTTTGAGGAAAATTATGTGGATGGGCTTGACTGGCCTGCTCAAAGTCTCAACCTCATCCCCATCTAACATCTTTGGGATTAGCTGGAGCACCAATAGTATGCCAGACAAACTCACCCAAAATACAACCTTGAACTTCTCATCATATTAAGGGATGAATGGAAGCAAATTCTATCAGCAGTTTATCAAAACTTTATGAAAAGTCTACCCAGAAAAGTAAATGCTGTTATAGCAGCAAAAAAAGGTCCAACCCCTACTAAGTACATGGTCTGAATCTTTCAAACCAAAAAGAATTAGGTTTATCATGATTTTTGTCTATATAGTGTACATAAGAGTTGAAAAAGTAAAAAAAAAAAAAAAATTTCCAAAATGGATCATAAAATTTGATATATTTAAATTTGTTTTAGAAAAAGGATTTTAATTTTGTAGGACCAATTGTAATTTGAGCTGAATTAATTAATGCACCTTTAACAGTGGGTGAAAACCACACTTAATATTTTTTACCCTGTTATTGGGCCATTTTCAATTGTCCCATTAATGAGACAATTGAAAATGGAATGTGGATGGCCCATTAACCAATTTGAAAACATTACTTTCTTTTGGCTTCATCCACTGTCAAATATGCATTAATTACAATATTTGAGGTGGAGCATTAGCAAAGGCTCTTCTACAAGTATGTGGCTTACAGAATTGCATTTGTTCTCAAAATTTTATCAATTGATTTTGATGAAACTTTGCCATTTTCTATTAATTGTGATGAGGAATCCAAAAATGTAATAAAAAGTGGGAGTCCATGACTTTGTTTTTGAGATACACTGAGGGTACAGAAATAATGTCCATACTCCCTGATGCAATTGAGTGCACCTAATGGAATTTAAGAGACAAAAGTAAAAATAAAGTATTGTACGTGCCTAACAGAAAATGGGAGTGAAAAACAAACAATACACAAGAAGAAAGCAATCAATGCTCATTGCTTTGCTCTTGGATCTCTTTTCCATGTTAGCAAGTGCAATGACCTTGTCTGTGTCAGCAAGTGCAAGAATTTCTCTTCTGTGGTGGCAAAGCACAGAGGAGGAATAAATACTTTCTATACATATTCTGGGCTGAAGTAAAGATTTATATTTTATAGTACATAAAATATGGTAACTCAGCTAAATTACCATAGTGACTAGTTCTATATCTTCATTGTAATTTGTTATAAAACAATTGATAGAGTAGGATAAGTGTCAGGTCAGTCCATAAGTTTGTGCGTATTTTTATCTACAAAAAAAGCAACAAAAAATTTTAATTAAATTTTATTTCAATCTATAATGTATTCACCATTATTTTGTACAATTTCTTGCCTTCTTTATGGTAGCTTTTTAATCCTGTCTTTGTAAAATGATTTTGGTTTTGAATCAAAATATTCAGAAATAGCCTTTTTTACATTGTTCTCATCCTCAAAAGTTTTCCCTTTTAAAAAATTCTGCAAACTGTGAAAAAGATGATAATCACTGGGAGCAATATCTGGCAAATATAGTGGATGATGTAAAATTTCCCAGTTGAAGCTTTTGAGTTTCTCTACTGTTATTTTTGCAGCATGTGGTCTGGCATTGTCATGTTGCAAGAGAACCTGCTTTTCTGTTCACTAATGACGGTCAATTTTTTTTCATTTAAACGCTCTAATTGATCACAATACATTTGAGCTGTAATTGTTTGATTAGGTCCTAACAGCTCAAAGTGAATTACACTTGACATATTCCACCAAACAGACAAAAGAATTTTTTTTGGATGCAACCCACCTTTTGCAGCCGGTTTTGGCTGCTTGTTGCGATCTGTCCATTGTCTTTTTCACATCACATTATTGTAGAGGATCCATTTTTCGTCTCCAGTAACCAGCTGATCAAGAAAAGGTTCTAAAGTAATGCGGGATAAAAGAGACGTGCAAATGTTTACACGTTGTTGTCAGTTAGCTATTGACAGTTCATGTGGTATCCATTTTCCTAGCTTTGAAACTTTTCCGATTTGTTGTAGATGTCTATGAACAGTTCCATGGGATGAATTTAAACGTTCCGCAATTTCATCAACTGTTAAAGATGGTTCTGCTTCAACTAGTGCAGAGAGAGCATCATCATCAAAGTCAACGGGTCTTCCAGTACGAGCCTTATCCTCCACACTAAAATCATTATTTCTAAATCTTTCAAACCACTTCTGCGCAGTCCTTACACTAATTACAGTTTGATTATGAACAGTATTTAATTTTTTGGCTGCATTTGTAGCATTCTCATCAGGTACTTTGAAACCGTGCTAGAAGTTATTAGTAGTAATTCAAACACAAATTATTATTGTATTTATTTTCAGGCACTTGGCAATTTTTATCATCAACTAAATAAAATTTTATGATAAAAATTGCCAAGTGCCTGAAAATAAATACAATAATAATTTGTGTTTGAATTAGTGCATTCTCATCACTTAAAAATAAAAAGTATAAAACATGTCTCTTATATTCGTCTGTTACTTCCATTTTAACGAAAATAAACAACTGAAATGTTCCCAATTCTGAACAGTATTATATGAATGAGATCCAATTTAACACTTCAGTGTAAAAAGTATAACATTAGACTGACAATTTTAACAGCAAAACACGATTTTTCTCAAGGTCATAAAATACTCATGAACTTATGGACTGACCTGATAATTATATTGAATGGATGATAGAAAAAACATTGTTATTGCAATACAGATTAAATAGTTTAGTTCTATAAAATAAATTTGTATTTTATTGCTTGTTAAGAAAGTTTTTACATTTTTCAGAATAAGCAGTGAATAATGAATTTGAATATTTAAACAACAATTTATACAGAAACATACTTATTCTCTGAGATAAAATATGCATAAAAATAAATTTTATTTTAAATGCAAATTCAGTACATAAGAGTCAAACTACATATACACATATCTTGAAACATTAGTGCTTCACAACAGCACATATGTCACACTACAGAAGGCTGCTATACTAAACACATGTCACATAGTCAGGAAATTTATATTACATACAGTACATGAATAGCACTTAAACATAATAATAGCTTGTTCTGTGGTTAAGCTTTGACCCTGGTCCAGCATATCAGCATCATTATATATGTCATATAGGATACACTCCACTACCAGTACACAATAATACATTCATTAAAATATCAGTAAATATTTAGAACTCATCTACAATACATATAGAGAATGGGCAAAGTACTTATTGTGCCTTATCTATTTTGTCATATACAGGCATCATGCTACATATATTACATTATATATGCTGTTTTTAAAGTCTAGGAGCATTAGAATTTAGTCACAGCATTCACATCATTTTACAGAAATGATTTGTATTAAACACATATTATGTAGTCATAAAACTTTTAAACACAGATACATACCTGAACATATGAATAAAATAATTTTTTTGCTTTCAGCTTCTCAGTCCAACATAGTACTAGTTATCAATATCAATAAAGTAAGACAATCAACAACAGCAATAATAATAACAATTAAATAATAAAAAATAATAACAAATAATAAAAATATTATATTAAAAATAATAACAACAATAATACTAGTATTTATTGTAAATTCTATATATGAGGGCTATTTTTTAAATAAGGTCCATTTGTGAATGAGTTTGAGAATAATGTGCATTAGCTGCAGCAGTATGCATGAACATCTGCTCCCAGCATGTTTTGCACACCATTTGCAGCCATATTGTCTGTCTGTGCTAAGCCGTAGCAGTTTATAATGTTTAAGAAAATCGAGTTGCCCACCGACTGTGAGATATGATCTGTTATTTGATTTCAGCACAAAAGATCACGGCAACTGTCTTTTGGGACAGGAAAAGATTTTGTTAATGGATTTTATGCTGATAGGCACAACAATCAGTTCTGATGCTTATTGTGTGACCTTGAGAAAACTCCGGCGTTCCATACAAAACAAGCGGCGTGGCATACTGTCTTCTAGCAGCAGGCAGCAGATTTCTTTGAAGTGTCAGAATTCAAAAAATTGTTGAGAGGTATGACAAATGTTTGAACAAAAATGGAAATTATGTAGAAAAGTAGATAGAAGTATGTATGAGGGCAGGTTGAAAAGTAATGCACACATGCTTGTAGAGCACAAATGAAATGATTTTCAGAAGCGTGCCAGGTGACATATGGTAGTAACATTCCCCCCTCTATGTGCATGCGCAGTTTGAGGTTGTTGTATTCATTCAGTATATTTTGAGAAGCGGAAATATGGCGACATGTTCTGGTGTTATGTCAATGCGAGTTAAACAGCGTGCTGTTATCGAATTTTTAACTGCTGAAAAAATTACGTTTAAAGGCTGTTTATGGTGACAATGCTGTTGATAGGTGTATTGTAAATTGATGGATAATAAAATTTCGTGGTTGTGAGCCTGGAAAAGCCATAATTGTTGATGAAACACGCAGCGGAAGTCCGATCACTGCCACAGACAATTACCGTTGTACGTTGTTGCAATGTTTAATTCTTCTCAGTACATACAGACTCTAAAACACATCTGACATTGAGTTTGACATGTTAGAGGCAGCCTGGCACCAATAATCTTGCAACATGACAACACTTGTCCACACACCTCGTGTGCAACTGGAGCGGCTCTGCGAAACCTGAAGTTTGAACCGATTCCACACCCTCCTTATTCCCCCGATCTTGCGCCTTGTGATTTTTATTTGTTTCTTCTACTTAAGAGATACCTCAAGGGTAATCATTACAATCAGACGATGAGGTGAAGGCAGCTGTCAAGTCCTGGATTCGAGAAAAGTTGGAAGAATTTTTCAGTGACGGAATGAAAAAACTTGTTACACGTTGGGAGAAATGTGTTAGTCATCATTAAGGATATGTTGAAAAATAAATATATGATTTTGAAGCTTAAGAAATGTACTTTAATGTACTTTTTGCCTGATCTTGCTATTTGTTTTTGTTCGTGTTCTACAAGCATGTGTGCATTACTTCTCAGCCTGCCCTCGTAGAATATGGGAAAAAATATATTTTAATGATATTTACAGCATTTTTCTTCTTATTAAAAAATGGACCTTATTTAAAAAATACCCTTCATATATGTATACATACAATGTGCATGTGTGCGTGCGTGTGTGTTTGTTTGTATAATACATTTATTTTTTTATTTATATTATAGGTCATTAATTGCATTTGTTACCAGTAATGATCCTGTTTGGAAAGGAATTTTATATGCTGTTACAATATTTGTCACTGCCACATTACAGTCACTTATGTTAGGTGTATATTTTCATCGTATGTATATAATTGGTATGAGAATACGTACTGCATTGATTTCAAGTATATATAGGAAGGTAAGAGAGAAGTCTTACTGAATTAAATTTAAAATTTTTCATTGTCAATTTTTTCAAATTTAAATATGACATTATATAAAAAGATCTTTAATTAAGCTTGGAAATAATCATTGAGAATATCGAAATTTTAACATTCTACTCAGTTCAAACAATCAAATTGGATTAAAGTTTTCCAACATTTCTGAAGAATTTTTATTGGTATTAAATGAATAAAAATAATTATATAATTTAAATTTTAAACGTTTCAATGTTGAGAACTGGTTTAAATGTAGTTTTATTAAAGAATGAGTTGATTAAAATTTTAATCAAACAAATAATATTTTCAAATTTTATTGTTTTAACTGATGAAAATATGCCATACTGTAAGATTTTAGTAATTAAAATACATAGACTTTTTCAGTATATTTGAGTAGCTTTAAAACAATTCTCGCTATTAATGATTTTTATACAATAAATACAACAACCTGATAATTACTTCAAATATCAAACAAACAACTGGAAGAAATACAGCAGTTTGTTTGATATTTGTAGAAATATATTTTTTAAAGTTTTAAATTTATAATTATTAAAATTAAGAAGAAATATGTCCAAACTAGCTGTTACCCGCAGCTTTGCCCACACAGATTTTGCAAGCAAACCCCATTTATATTCAGTATTTCAACAACCATAGTAATTGTTATATAACACCTACTGCTGAGAATGATGAGAATTGCTGAGAATCAAACAAACTATTTTCAATTTGATAAATTTTCTGGAACGTTTACAATTGTTCTATAGGCGAACCAATATGCAATAACAAATTCAAATTTAAAACGGTTTGAACATTTTTAAAATTGAAATAGATAAAAATATTTATAACAATGTCTGAAATGTTATTAATTTAATACACCTAAGTACTCGATGAA